AAGACTGCATTACTTTTCTCTTTTTATATTTATATGAAATAAAAATACACAATAATCATTATTCTATAAAGACTAAACACAATTAATTTTATTTCTACATAATAAAAGTTTCAGACAACATTATGGAAAACAATAGATAAATTAATCTAAAACAATTTGCTTATGATTTCTGAATTCCCTTTCACTTAATTTTTTTTCCCATCAGTTAATTAATCAAGCTTTTTCCTTTTTGCTTTTCCATATCTTTCTCCTTATCCTTCTTCGCCGGAACAAGCCCGTCTGTTCCTGCTAGTATAGCATACTTATCTTTCCTAGTCAAATTTGTGCACTCAAACCCCAAGGTTCCGCCGAGTACCCTCTGTATATAATTCGCCACCTCGATTGCTGATTTTCCTCCCTTCACGGTCAGCTCCGCCGGCAGCTGGTTCAAGAATGTGATCTCATATGTCGGCATGGGATTCATGAACACGAAGTAAGGATCCAACAACTTATGCCCTCGAACGGTGGTCCCGTAAAACACGCTTTGCTTCGTGTTTATGGCGATCGGGACGATCCTGTCTGTCAGCTCAGCGAACAGAGCACTGAATCTCAGTAAAAATGGTTCCCTGCAGGTGGTTCCCTCCGGACATATTACCAAGTCACCTTCCTCTAGAAGCCGCTTGATATTGGTTGCGTCTTTCTCTCTCTCCCTAGACAACGCCACTGCTTTGATCGGAGAAATGATTTCGCTGAACTTGCTGATACTGTAAGTGACGCAGCTGATTTTTCTTCCCAGGGCAACGGCGGTGACGACGGGGTCTAACACGGCGCGGTGGTTGCAGACGAAGAGAACTCCGCTTTGGCCTTTCTTTGGCGGTGGCGGAGGGGTGCCTTTAACAATGAGTTTGATTCCCAAGAGCTTGTAATTGTATCGAGCAATTCTCTCCGGTAAAGGGATGTTGGTGTAAACTCGGAGAAGGGACAGGATGAAGCCGATTGGAAGCCATAGAAATGTCAACAGAGCGACGAGTGGCGTTGGTCTTTGAACTAGACGGCCGTCGTGGAATATAATAGGACTTGGAAGCTTGTTTCTTGGCAAAGGTTCGCATTTTGTTTTTGGCACCATAAACCCTTCCTGCACATAAATAACAGGCATACGTCAAAAGCTGTATTTTTTTTTATTACATCTTAATTAATTTAAAATTAAATTTTGTCAGATTTTATGAAAAAAAAAATTTTTCAACTTTTATTTTTTTTTATTTACTATATTTAAATTCAAAATTTTATTTAAAAAAATCAAATTTCCATCTAAGAGTACCGGTCTTAAAATTTTATAATTTTATAGTTTCATGCTAGTTAATTTTTCTAATGGTTCAATGCACAACACTGCCTTAATTAGCTAGGGAGGCCCAACTTGGATACAAACAATTCAGTTCACCAAACATTTCAGGCATTGATAATGATATTTATTGTACTGACCTGGATTAATTTTTTTGATTCTATAATGACTGGACCTTAAGGAAAGCAGGTTGGTCCACGTACATATACAGGCAATTCAGGCAAATCAACAAAATTTAAGGTTTCTGGATGTCACAAGAATGGTGTTGATTAAACGAATATGTGTCAGACAATTTAGAAGAGGGAAAGTTAAAGGGTGAACTGCTACAATTCATGATTTTTACCTGAGATGCACGAAATTAAAAGAAAAAAAAAGTAGGTAGAAGACACAACGAAGGTGTGTTGACTGGACGGAGAAGACGAAAATGATATCACATAAATTAAATGTTAGTTTTTTTCTCAATATTTACCACCTCATATCCGAAATAGTTGCTTGAATTTTTTTTTTCTTTGGTTAATTGTTATTTGAATTTAATTTTACAAAAAATTATTAGGTTAATTTAAGCTGCATTAAATTAATTATACTATTAAAATTATTAGATAGAATTTTTAATCTATTTATTTCTCAAAATAATTATCATTATTTGATTTTGAGTTTATTTTAAATTAATTGTCCTTTTTTTAAGATAAAAAAATATTTTTTTTTACTTTAACCCAATTTTATATATTTATTTTGATTAATTATTTTAATAAAAAATTTATTTTATTTTTTTAAATTTTTTTAAGGATAATATAAATAAATTCATGAATTACTCCTAAATCCTTGATTTGAAAAAATAAAGTAAAAAAAATAATTATTATTTTGAGATTGATCAAAAGAATATCTAATAGATCTTATTTTATACAGTTTTTGTTAAAATATTATTAGGTATAACTAATTAGATGATAAATATTTTAGATTGAATGAAGTATGCATCATAAGGTCGGTTTTTTTCACAATTAGTACATGTAGAGAAATTAATTAAGGGTTACGAAACAACGATCAGAAAAAAAAATAAAAATTAAGGGTTACGAAAACTGAAAAAGGCTAATCCATAGGAAGATAAAACAAAAATGGAAGAATTTTGGGACCTGAGGTTAAGGGGGAAAAGGATAACCTTAGTGGACCCACTAAAAAATTAAAAGAGATGGCCAAACAATTATTGCCATAAACGCTCCCAACAACCCAGGAGTTAATTTGCCAGCTTCAATTGCATACTAACTATATGGAGTTAAAAGCAAACTTAAACTATTTAATAGTGATATTTTTTTTTAAATAAAAAATTTTAAATTCAAATTATATAATATGTGATGAAGTATAATAAAAAATAAAAATAAGTTCTTCTCTCATGGGATAGCCAAGATTTTTTTTTTAAAAAAAAAACTATATGGAGTTAAAAGAACTATAGGAGAGAGATGTACCGAAGAAAAAGAGAACCATACGAGAGAGTTTTTGGACATTATAACAGGTGCGCAAACGTGAAAAGGGTGCTATAAGAGACTAAAGAAAGAAAAAAGTTGAAAAGTAAAAGAGTAGGGTAATGAGATTGAACCTTGCATAATGACATGAAATCATGGTCAGATTCTCTATCTCCGAGGCCTAAATCTGGAAGATTGTTTGTTCCGAATTCCTTCAGGATGGCATTCCTTTTGTGTTCTCCGACGAGTACTCCTGGTGTTTTGACAAATCCGGTTGCCCTGCCGGATTTTGTCACGTCCAACTCTGTTCCGATGACCTTATCCGCACCTAAGAATGTCTTGGCGAATGGTTCCACCATGACCCTAGGATTGGCAGTGATTATGTATCTTTTTCCAAAGGCACTGAACACTCTCCATGTCTCCGGATGGACATCTTCTGCATAGAATTTTGGCAAGACGGACCTAAATGTAAAGACAAACATGTACGCCTTATTAGTTCAAGATTCAAACATTTGCAATAGCTAAGTAATACTCAAGAAAAAAATATACCTTGAAACGAGTTCAATGTCCCGCATTTTCAATCCAGCGGAGGTAATGAAGATGAAGCATTGGATTGCAAATGATTCAGAGATAAACAAGTACGCAAAATACAAAAAGGGGCATGCCGCTAAGAGTAGGAGCGCTCTGATGAGGCTTCCAGCTTCGAGGGCAACAAGCAGGAAGTAAGGAAAAGCACTTCGTGACACGAGCAGCGTGCCATCTAAGTCGGCAGCCACTGTCTGATTGGATCGCCCTTCACTGCGGCATTTGGAGATTGGCTCGAACCGACGGTGAGCCCCCATGACCATGTGACAGAGAGGAAATGAAGTGAGAACTGGAGCTTTGGGTGTTAATATGAGAGAGAAAAGGAAGGGGAGACAGGGGGGATTTAAAAGGAGATTGAAGGGGCAGAAAAGATGGTTAGAAATTTAAGCCATTGGGCACTGAATATGTCATAAAAAAATTGTGTGGTTGAGAAATAGACAGAGCATGCATGGAAATATTGAAATTAAAAGTAAGTTTAACTATGCTAAGACTTTTTAATTAATTTGTTGTATCAATTGGGGCAGTTGTGACAAGGGGTCCGAGTGGTTGGAAGCCCAAACCGACACCTCCGTCCCATTCAATAGCATCCTTTTACAGTTCCCGGCCGCCCACAGCCCATCCACATGAACCGCGCCAACACCACTTTTGTGGAGGAGGTGAGGCTATTTTTACAAATGACAAATGTCTTTTAGGATAATTAGTTAGTTGTGTATATCAAATTATTATGAAATCGTTACATAATTGACATGATGAATGTGAGATTTTGATCTAATGCTGGTCCTAATTAATTAGAATATGAACAGATTCGGGAGCCGCCGATGGGGGGTTGAAATTTTGCTTGACTTAATTAATGCAAGCTAACTAATCGGGCTCCTTAATAATATCTCGTGTGTCAGTATTTTTATTCCTATCTTTTGAGTGAAGAAAACAAAGAAACTTCCAGATCTCTTGTTTACCTTAACGATTCTGTTAATTTTGTACTCTTGAGGAAGTTTCTAACTGGTAGATATTGACATCCAACTAAAATTCTAACTCTTTTGTTTCTTGCACCACACGTAACAGTAAACTTGAAAGCAATTAAAACCACAATTGTTGCATTTATATATATATACATAGGTGACAGGCAATTTGGACCTCTAACTATTGACCTCCCGACAGTACTGAAATTGCTGGCAATATTCTCTTCCACACTCTTTTTTGGACATTTTATTTTGTTTTTGATAGATAGACATTTTCTATGATAAAATAAACGTTGATTGAGTGTAGAATGATGTTTATGCATATAGCAAGAAAGGAACTAAATGACAGAAAATTGAAGAATGAGAAGTAAGTGACTGAAAATTGAAAACTAAAAACTGAAATGACTTTTACTGCTGAATATTGAAAGCAGAACAACAAGGAAATATGATGAAAAGATGAGAAATTGACACACAGTATAACTAGTCATTCTCCTTATTTATAGACAACATAAAACACTAACGACCTGTTAGTTCAAGTGGAAGAACCTCGGTTCCCTTTAAGCAAGGTTTTGAATTTAAGTTTTATGAATGGAGAAACAGGCATTGGGAGAGCTTCCCCCTTAATGGGGTCCGACGCGACTCGATTTCGAATTAGTCAGAAGACCAAATGTGGTTACCAGATACTGAGAGGTTAATACAAAAAAAAAAATAGACAGCATAAAACCGAAGTTTGTTGTAACTCTCCTACTAAAAACGCGGCTTCATTAGATAAGAATTTGGTATGCTCCACTTTATTAGGACTCTGCTAACAGTCTTATTTGACTTTGTCTTTAGCAATCTCCCACTTGAAGACATGTTTCTTGAAACAAAACAAACAAAAAATGAAAAGGAATCATACTTCTTCAAGTCCAATTGAAGACTTGCACCAATTGAACTTGTCACGAGCCATTGGTTTTGTTAACATATCTGCTGGATTTGAACCTGTGTGAACCTTGTGTAGAAGTATCTTGCCATCTTCAACTAATTGTCAAACAAAGTGATAGCGAACATCTATATGCTTTGTGCGAGAGTGATAAGTTGGATTCTTAGCCAAATGCAAAGCACTTTGACTGTCACAATGCATAGAAAACGTGTCTTGCTTCACTTTAAATTCTTCAAGCAACCTCTCCAATCAAATAGCTTTTTTGCAAGCATGAGAGATAGAGATATACTCTGCCTCTGTTGTTGATAAGGCTACAATCAGCTGCAATTTAGACTCCTAGCTAACTGCACCACTTGCCATGATAAAGACATTACCAGAAGTTGATCTTCTTTTATCTCTATCTCCAGCAAAGTCTGCATCAACAAAACCAACACAATCGGGTTCCATTGAACTGTAACACAATGAAACACTTGAAGTGCCCTTTAAATATCTAAGGATCCACTTCACTGCATCCCAATGAACACGACTAGGATTTGCCATGTATTTGCTAACAACTCCCACTACTTGTGCAATGTCCGACCTTGTTCCGACCATGGCAAACATAAGACTCCCTACTACTGATGAGTATGGCACTCGAGACATCGCTACCTTCTCTACTTCAGTGCTGGGTGAATGTTCCGAAGACAATTTAATATGAACAGGAAAAGGGGTACTCACAGGTTTAGCATTTTGTATATTGAAGCGCCGTAGAACCCTTTCTATGTAGTTCTTTTGATTCAACCAGATCTTCGTATCCTTTCTGTCTCTAAATACCTTCATCCCAAGAATTTGATTCACGGTTCCCAATTCCTTCATATCGAATTCCCCAGCAAGTTGAGCTTTTAATGTAGAGACATAAGTGTGATTATTTCCTACAATAATCATCTCATCTACATACAATAACAAGATACAGAAGCATCCATCATTATGATCACAAAAATAAGCACAATGATCAGCTTCACATCTACGAAATCCCAAGCTCACGATAAAGGAATCAAACCGCTTATACCAGCATCTAGGCGCCTGTTTCAGATCATAAAGCAATTTGTTCAGCCAACAAACCAAACTTCTATTATTTTCTTCAACAAAGCCTTCAGGTTGTATCATATAAATTTCTTCATTCAAGTCACCATGCAAGAAAGCTGCCTTGACATCTAGTTGTTCTAACTTAAGATCAAGAGAAGCAGCAAGAGTTAAAACAACTCTAATAGTAGTCAAACGAACAATTGGTGAGAAAACTTCATCAAAATCCATACCAGGTTTTTGGGCATACCCTTTAATCACAAGTCTAGCTGTGTATCTTTCTATATTCCCTTCTAAGCCCTTCTTCAACTTGTATATCCAGTGACATCCAATTGCCTTTAGACCTTTTGGTAGCTGAACAAGATCCCAAGTTTTGTTCTTGTGAAAAGACTTCATCTCCTCCTTCATTGCACATCTCCATTGGTCAGAATTGACAGACTCACAAGCCTCTTTAAAAGAAGTTGGCTCATGTTCTTCTGAAAAAGCAAGATAAGCACATACATAATTAGATTGAGGCTTCAAAGATGTAACATAGTCATCATACCTCACTAGAGGTCTAATGGCCCTTGGAGGTTGAGGCGAAACAGCATCACCAGATGAATTTCCTTCATGTAAAAGCTCAAACTTAGGCTCAGACTCAGATTGAGGATCATTTTGAATATTCTCCTCTTGTACAACATCATCAAAACTAGCTTCTTGCTCAACAACAATCTTCTTTGCTTCTTCCTTTTTAGTTGTGCCTTGAAAAACCTCTTCATTACAAACCACATCTTGGCTAATAATAAGATTGCGGGCAGTAGGATCCCACAATCTGTACCCCTTTGTACCAATCTCATAGCCAAGAAAAATATATCTTTTTGAATTTTTATCAACGTTGGTTCTTTTCTCCTTAGGCATCCAAACATAAGCATCACATCCAAATATGCGAAGGAAAGAATAGTTTGCAGGTTTACCAAACCAAACCTCCTCCGGAGTTTTCATCTTGAGAGAAATAATGGGTGAGCGGTTGATTAGATAGCATGCAGTATTAACAGCTCAGCCCAAAATTCCTTCCCCAATTTCGCAGTGCTCATCATGCATCTAGCACACTCCATGAGAGTTTGGTTCATTATCTTAGCAACCCCATTCCGTTGTGGTGTTCCTAGTATTGTAAGATGTCTTTTAATACCATGCTCATTGCAAAAATCATTAAACTCCTTACTACAAAATTCTCCCCCATTATCAGTTCGAAGACACTTAATTTTCATGCCTTTTTGATTTTCTACTAATGCTTTAAACCTTTTAAATTTCTCAAAAGCATCAGATTCCTTTTGAGCATGAAAACCCATACCTTTCGAGAGAAATCATCAACGAATGTCACAAAGTAAAAACACCCACCAATAGAAACAACAGGTACTTGACAAGTATCAGCATGAATCAAGTCAAGGAATTTATGGCTTTTGTTTGTTGACAAAGAAAAAGATAGCCTATGTTGTTTTGCATACACACAATCTTCACAGAAACCCAATGAGTCAGTCTTGAAACCAAGAAGAATTTTTTGATTAAATAGTACTTGAAACCCGCAATCACTCATATGTACCAACCGTATGTGCAAACAGAAGAGGATTCAGACTTGATACTTGCAACAGCAGCTTCGCCCATTAAAGTCTCACCCACCAATCTGTATAAATTCCCAACCAGTTCACCCTTTGCCACAACCATAATACCCTTGACTACCTTTAGCTGACGATTCTCCCCTATGAATTTCATACCAAGCTTGTCAAACTTTCCCAAGGACAGAAGACTCTTCTTCAATGCAGGTACATGTTGAACATTGGAGATTGTTTGGATACAACCATCAAACATCTTGATGCGCACATCTCCGGTTTCGACTACTCTGCATTCACCATTGTCACCCATGTAAACGACACCACCAGCACAAGACTTGTAAGTGTGGAACCATTCCTAATGAAGTGTCATATGGAAGGAGGCACTTGAATCAAGAATCCACTGATTTCATGGTTCCACACATTTTGAAGCAGTCAAGGCATCCCCGTCTTTTGCAAAATCAAGACTCTATACAAGATTTCATTGAAAATTGTCAGTATTGGAATCCTCACCTTTCTTTGCTCTACAGTTCTTCCTCACATGCCCTGGCTTTCCACAGTTCCAGCATCTCATTTTCTTCTTCCCTTTAGACTTGGATCTAGATCGATCTCTAGAACTTCTTTCAACAGATCTACCACATGCATACATAGCATCTGTAAGACTAGATTGGCTAGATTTTCACCTCATCTCCTCAAATAATAGTGATGTTATAACAGAGTCCATATCAAGAACCTTCACATGGCTCAAACTCATAATCAAGTTATCCCAAGAGTCAGGCATAGAACATAATAAGATACTTCCTTTCTCTTCATCATCTATTTTAACATCAAGAGATAGAAGCTTACTAGTAAGGGAATTGAATTCATTAAGGTGCTCTTGTACTGACCCTCCATATTTCATCTTCAAGTTGTAAAACTATCGCCTTAGAAAAATCTTGTTTGCCAATGACTTGCCTTCATAAATATTCTTAAGCTTTTCCCAAAGCCCTTTTACAGTTGACTCTGTCTCTACATTGAACAGAATATTGTCTTTCAGTGCCAGCTGCAAATTTGCCAAGGCCGTCTCGTCCTTCTTAGAGAATTACTTATCCGTCATTCCTTTGGGTCTCTCTTCTCTTGGCAAGAAAGCCACTGCACAACCATCCGTCATGAGCACTGCATGCATCTTCAATTTGCATAGTGCAAAATTTGATCCATCAAAACTGAGAATCTCAAATTTTGTACCACCACCTTTTCTTGCCATTATGACCAGCACAAACAAAGCTTTCTACAACCACAGCTCTAATACCAAAATTCTAAAATAAAAGTTGATCGAGTGTAGAATGGTGTTTATGCATATAGCAAGAGAGGAACTAAATGAGAGTAAATTGAAGAATGAGAAGTAAGTGACTGAAAACTAAAATGACTTTTATTGCTGAATATTGAAAGTAGAACAATAAGGAAACATGATGAAAAGATGAGAAATTGACACATAGTACAACTAGTAATTCTCCTTATTTATAGATAGCATAAAACAAGAGTTTGTTGTAACTCTCCTACTAAAAACATGGCTTCATCAAATAAGAATCTAGTTTGCCCCACTCTATTAGGACTCTGCTAATGTTCTTATTTGACTTAGTCTTCAACACTTTTTTTTTTTTGAACTCAGCAGAACTTGTTTAATTAATTAAAACATAGCCATACAGCATCTACAGTAAGGATTTTCATCACAGTGATAAGAACACATGATAGACCAAAGAAAATCCAACTAGAGACAACAATCAGAGTAGATCAAGTTCATCAAAGAACAAATAGAAGAAAGATAGTGAAAATCACACGAACAACCTCTAAGGAACCTAAGATTACAAATTCCTTTGGTTGATCGTTCCAGAAGCTGGACATCCTTCAATCTACCCTTGAAGATGAGCTCAGTCTTCACAATGTCAGGGCAAGGAGATCAACGGCCACCCCTAATTTCAACATGGTTGGCTTGTTGGCCACCATATCTAAGGAAACAAACAAAGAAAACCAGAAAATAGTAAAGAAAGAAGCGAAAAGGACCACCAGAGGGGCCCCAAAAGAAACAGACAGACCACACAAGGTGGTCAATGCACACCGGAGCACGACAAGGTGGCTCCATTGTGCATGAGAAGCTGGAAGGCTTCTCAACATCCAAAAGCCCGTGAAGCCAAAGGCTTCTGGGCACCAAAAAACAAAAAAAACAAGCTTGGGGAAGGTGTAGTAAGAAGGAGGAGGCTTCTAGA